CAGAGTATTTTTTAACACAAGTATCTGTACTTTTACTCAAGTACGGAAAGTGAGTACTTTTGCCATCTCTGGTAGAAACTAATAATTCAAACAAATCATCCCAGCTACTATAAAAAACTATGGCAGCAGATGGGATGCTTTAGAAGTGAGAAACTGTGAAAATACTTTTATAAATTCCCATGTGTGACAAATTAAAGTTGCGAAATGCATGGAACCTCACACAGCATGATTAAAAAAATAAAAAGTGGCAGTATCATGCTGAGGGATCATCTTTAAATTATCAGTAGACTTAGAGAAACTGAGTGTATACTATATGCACACTGCTCTATTTGCACTCCTTGTAAGATGCTAGTTTACTTTTTATATTTTATATCCATATTTTTATCTTAAGTGTATATATTAGTCTATTTTATTGCATGCCTTATACCCACAGTGTTTTAGATATTTTTATAATTTTATTTACCTATTCCATATTATGTGTTTCATGTTGCACGATTGTACCATAAAAAATTTCTAGTTTGTGAACTCCTTCACTAACAATGGCTATAAACCTGATTCTGATTCTGATACAAAATAAAATTTCCATGCATACAGCATCGAAATTAGTAGGTAGCAGTAGAAAAGTTGGTCAGAGTTGAAAGTTGGAAAGACAACTTTAGAATAAATGCTTTTTGCATGGCCCCGTTTTAAAAAAAAAAACAACAAAAAACGTCACATTTCATTTATTTGAAATTACTTTTTTTTATTTTTTAACAATACAAAACATATACAGAATGCATAACTGTATGCCAAGTCCAGTATAAAAAAGTAAATAACTGTTACAAAAAAAGGTTTTATTGATTAGAAATCTCGTCTTCATTAAAATGATTTAGTAATAAAGCAAATAAGGGGGACGATAAGGCACAGCTGGTACTATCCGGAAAGCATAGTGCATAATTACATCACCACATTAGTGAAACCAGCAGTTTCACGCTGTAAAGAGGAAAACCAATATTTGTACAGGATTAAAACAAAAAACAGCTCATTTCTGCAGAGACAGAGCCTGTCCGTGTATAAAACGACATCGCGCTGTATGGCTTTTACCAAGTGCTTTCAACAAGTAGAATCTGGAGCAGCTTAAGTGCAAAAAGGAGGAGTAAGGTCACGTCTTTTTATTCTTTCAAGCAGAATTTGAACTCGGGCCACAGACGACGATGATTGAGAACCTTTTAAGCGGTGAATTTTGGAGGTTTCTGCAGACCCTGGATCAGGATTTGTGGGTGGCGGGGGACAGGAGCAGGGAGGAGGGTGTTCCTTCCAGGTTTGGGAGGGGGACAGGCATGTGTCCGTTGATTAGGCTGGGGAACTGTGGAGGGAAGAGAGAGGGGCTGAGAGTTAGCGGGTGGCTGCTTTCCGGTAAGGAACTGTAGCATTGTCACTGCTCTGCTTTCCTGTTTTCTTTTTTTTTTTTGTTCCGCTTTAATTTTTAATTCATTGTGTCTCTTCCTTCCTTCTCGTCTATATAACCTTAAACTCCACCCCAGAACGAAGCCTCTGTTTTATTTGTGCCAAACGGTATCCTATGTGTTGCCTTACTGTGTGAGTGCCTGCAGAGGTAGTATCTTCGCTGTGTGTGTTTAATAAATGAGGAGCAGCTCTCAAACCAGTCCACCCTGTTCAGCCAGGCTCCCCTGGGCTCAAACAGGAAGTATTCACAGGATTTCCTCTCCCTCTGAAACAGGACACCTCTGCAGGACCAGCTTACAAAGTCTGAACTTGTTTCTTCACCGTTGGTTTCTGCTCCTTTGCAAATAACAAAACAAAACAAAAAAAAATCCCACCATGCTGGAGATGATTTTAATAAGCTCCCTTTAAGGGGAAGACCTTCGAACCAAACCATTTGGAAGAGTGAGCGTTTTGCAGAAGCATGTGTTCTAGTATGCCACTTCCTCCTCTGCTTTTTTGAGAACTTACAGCTAAACAATAACCTTCTGTGAACACCCCCTGTTCTTTTTTGGGAGCCTCGTCCTGCGCTATCTGCGGTGCATCTCACCTGGAAGAGGGAGCCGTGGCCCTGCAGCCGGGCGGGGCTGAGAGGGGCGACGGGGCTCAGGCTGCTCCAGAAGTGGATCCCTGACAGCAGCGGACTGTGAGCCAGCAGCAAACCGGATGGAGTCTGTGAAACGACAGATCGAAAGCAAATATTAGAGGAAAAACCAGTAAATAAAACCTGCCTGGGTTTGGAAAACGTTGCTCTGAGGGGTTCTGATAATGTGAAACATGCAGAAACGGTAAATGGATGCGCTTTGGCATTTGGAAAAACAAACCCAGGGAGCAGGAAGGAAGTCTGTGGTTTCTCCTGAATATAGGGGGTGGGATGGGGGGGGGGAATGCTTAAGAGAGAAAACATATGAAATCAATTTCTACATCTATTGCCCCTCCCCCGCACACTTTCTCCTGTGTCACCTCAGCGACGTGAGTCGGAGCTGCTGCTCCCATTATTAATGGAATTATTGGAGCATATGGCATCACTTAGGGACACCCCCCACCCCCCCTTTACAGCCTGGACTTGCTGAAGAATCCAGCAAACTGCTTGTTTTCCCTCAGATTTTCTGCAGCCATAAACAGCCGATGTGGGAAGAGCTATTAATACCTTTAATGTGCAGCAGAACCATCCTCTGATGCGGACGATCTGTTAAAAACGGCTCCGAGGTAAACATGCTAGTTAAAATGGACGCTCAAATATTAGCTGAAGCTTAAGGGAGTCTGGGGGGGGTGGGGGGCATAATGTCAAAAAAGTTCCAACTTAAACTAAACAAACGGCAAAGATGAAGATCAGCGAGTAATTGATCTAATGTGGTTCAATCAATCTGTGAGCTGAGTGACACTTTAGGTGAACATATGACTAATATTTGATGCATAAATAGACCTGCAGCTGAAAAGGTACTTTACTTTTTTTTTCTTTAAGACGTTTCTTTGTAAAAATGAAAAAAAAAAGGGAGAAATATTCCTTAAATGAAAGGTTTTATAAATCTCCTCTTTGGAAAAACATTGGACTCAGCTGGCCTCTATCAGGATCTCTGTCAACTTGGTCAGAGTTTATTATTCATTATCGTCACCCCTTTTTAATAAAGAAATAAATGATAAATGCATTAATTTAATAAAAGAAACAAATCTTAATATTTTGCTGAATTATATATATATATGCACCTAATAAGTTATATTTAACCTACCAGGTAAATATTTGATTTAACTTACAAAATAGTTGAATATCTTTTTCATTTTTTAAGCAGAGTTAGTATAATACTTGTGAAAAAAAAAGTTTGGGATGATGGAGACATTGAAGATGTTCTCGGGGATCGGAACCCGTTTTTGTAACCGATAAATGCATACATCCCCTCACACCCCCACCATGGTCCTGTTCGCTGTTGAAACTCAAACCAAGACTGCATCACACTTGGAAATCATCATATCTGCACTACCAACCTGGCAGATTTTTTTTCATAATCCCTTGAAATAGAACACAACAGTGTTTCTAATGCATTTTCCACCATATTTATTTATTTTGCACTGCACTGAACCTTTCCATACCAATGCCTTTTGAAGCATAAACTGGTTTTCATTTTCTACTACACCGTCTACATTCTGATCATTGCTGGAACTCAGGGGTTGACGTTAAGGATTTTTTACCACTTGACTTTCACATTTCATTTGCCCAGAAACAATTTTTACTTGCCCAGTATAATGTTTGATAAATATAGTTCCTAATATTCATTTTTGTATAATAATGAAACATGTTTTTTGTAATTCAGTATTTTTTAAGTTTCCAGGTTCCTGGTGTGTACGGTATATGCATGCGTCAGATAATGAACTCAAGCCTACATTACCGTGTTAACATGCTTTTCAATCCTTCCTGC